CCACTGTGCTATCGTGTCACCACTCTGCCCACGCTTCCCACTGTGCTCTTCTTGAGCTATGCACGCTCTCAAGCCTTCCCCTATGCACCCGTGTCCCCAATCCGCCCACCCTCTATTTTTGAGGCACCTCAAATATAGACTCCACTGTGCTCTTGGTTGAAAGCTATGCACGCTTTCAAGCCTTCCCCTATGCACCCGTGTCCCCAATCCGCCCACCCTCTCCCCTTCCCTGTGCCTGCAGAGACCTCTATGAAAGCACTCACGCCACAGGCCTTGCTCACCAGCTTCCAAGTCAATGCAATGGGACCGGCTCTGGTCATCAAGGTGCGTCTGAGGGCACTTAGAGTCACCAGCCACGGGGCTAGCGCTGGTGATTATGCTGCGTATGCCATATGAATGACATAGGATAGGTAGGCCCTGTGCTGGCAATTCAAACTCAACAGCCGTACGAACAAGTACCAAAATCTCTCGTGGAACTTTCGGTTCAAATGTTCAGAGAAGCTGCTCTCCAGTTTACGTGCAACGACAGGTTTATCTACATTCTTGCCTGCACCGAAAGTGCATACACAACAAATCGTGCGCAAGGAGGAGTGTTCTCTCCAGGAGCATGAGGAAGCGGGTCTGATCTGATCTGGTCTGGTCTCCTATACGCCGTGTGGTGTGGGCATTCACTGAATGGTTGGGCGGTCAAGTCCTTGAAAGTCAGCTCTGTTCCGTGTAATTAGTTGTCTGCCTAAAGGGAAAGGTGACGAGAAGATGGAAGGAGAAAATGGGAGGTGGAACGTGAGAGGATTACACGTATGGGAGATGAAGGGTACAGGTAGCGCCTTCTTCTCTCCAATGTCTTCTGTCCCTTTCTTTCCCCTCATTTTTGTTCTCTCACCACTCTCATTGGCCTTTGTTGTCACTTCAGCTTCCATCCATGGCACATCTTCCCCGAACCTTCTCCCCATTCTCTCCACTGTCCCCCTGCTGTGCTGATTGCACAGAAGATGGCGCCGTTGCTAGTCTAGGCGCCTCATAACCCCTCTTCACTCTGCCCCTGCTGTGCTGTTGCACAGAACATGGCGCCGTTGCTGGCAGCAGGAGGAGGCGCAGCGGCAGGGAGAGAGGTGGCAGTGGCAGCAAGCATGAGCGCACGTGTGTCCTCGATAGGCGATAACAGGCTGGGGGGTTGGCACTCATACCGCGCGGCAAAGACGGCACTGAACCAGCGTAAGTTTTCTTGAGGCACGGCAGCTGGGAAAGAGGTGGCAGTGGCAGCGTGTTGGTCTCGTCGATAGGCGACACAACATGCTGGCCGGTGGCACTTGTACCGCGCCCCACAGGCTGCCTTTTGAGGCGCCTCAAAACTCGTCACTTGCACTGTGCCTCACAGGCTGCCCTGAACCAGTGTAAGTTGCTGCACATTTGTCCAGGTGTGTTATAAATAAGTCGACTGGGAGGCAGGGAGGAAGGTGGCAGCGGCACGTGTGTCCTCGGCAGGCGATAATCGACTAGGGGGTTGGCACTCGTACCGTGCCTCAAAGTCTGCACTGAATAACTGTGAGTGTCCCGGTGTGTTCTGAGTCAACTCATGATGCAACGGCAGAGTGGTGGTGGCACTCTCACCACACATGGAGGGCAGGCATGGAGCACCGGTGTTGTTTGATCATACTTTGCTTTCTCAAGCACAACCGACCTTGCTCTCCCTTTTTCTCTTCAGCCCTCACACTTCCTCCTCCTAGTACCGTCACGGCCCATCTCACCCCACCCCTCTGCAGACATAAGCATCCCTTCTTATTCCCACACACGCCCCCGTTCCTTAAACCCCTCATCCATCTCGCTCGCTCCTCCCCTCCCCTCTCTCCTTCGCCAAACCCCCAGTGGTCCGCACAATGCCCATCGAGTTTCGGGGTTCCTCCTTTATACTCTCTCACCTTTTCTTAAGCCCTCCCTCCTCCCCGCCCCTCCCGCCCGCCCAGTGGTCCGCACTATGTCCATCGAGTTGGCAGCAAAGAAGCAGAACCGAGTTGGTGCCATCCTCCTCCACCCCCCCTCTCCCCTCTCCACCTTACCCCCCCTCCTCCCCCAGTGGTCCGCACTATGTCCATCGAGTTGGCAGCAAAGAAACAGCCAGTTGCTGCCATCCTTCTCCACCCAGGAACAGTAGACACAGATATGTCCAAACCCTTCCAGAGGGGCGTGCTGCCCGGAAAGCTCTTTACGCGCGAGTTTGCCGCCCAGAAGCTGCTGAGGATTGTAGACAGGGTCACTTCTGGGGATAATGGCAAGTTTTTTGCATGGGATGGGGAGGAAATTCCTTGGTAGGGTTACAATATACGGTTCCTTTGTTTTTTTTTCCTGCCCCTAACGGATCTTAGAATATTTCATGGTAGCCTTTGAGTGTTAGTGATTGTGAGGGAGTGGCATTGCAATATGGGTGCACCGTGCACCCCTCAAGACATCCATGCAAGTGCGCCTGGCCCGACCAGGAGATGCGTCGAAGAGGGGCAGTTGAGTCACATCACAACCTCACGCGGTCAGCATGACAACGTTGTGAATTGTGCGGGCAGTGGTGTCAGTGCATAGAGAAATTCTGGCAGGCGAAAAGGCCAGCAGAAAATGGAATTCAATAACCGTAAGGTGAGAACTCAAACTGTAATCCCAATTCCATAGAATGGCATAAGATGAAACCGTTGATATGAATGAAAAGTATCATGAACATATATAAATAAATAAATAAGTACATATCATCACAACTGTCTTAAAACAAAGCCTAGCACTTGCGATCACATTGTACTAATAAATCCGTGTCATCTCCCCTTTGGGCGCCAGTAATGAGCATGGCAGATGGGTCGTCAGATTCAGAAATGCTGCTCAGGCCATCCAGCACCCTGCTCATGCCATCTGTAGCCCTGCTGATGTCATCTGGCACCTTGCTGATGTCATCTGGGATTAGATGCATGGCATCTAAGCATAAACTGGCAAAGGGATTAGATTGCTCCATGACACAGCTGTTAGTGCTCACCATGGTACTTGCGCTGTTCGTGCTACTGCTGCTGCTCATGATGATGGTGTTGTGCGGGCCAATCGGGTCGACATGGCCAAACTGGTCAATCCTGCTGCTGTTGATGATGATGCCGTTAGTAGCATCGAATTGGGTGTACAAACCAGGGTGGCGGCTGCTCGTGCAGCTACAGTAAGTAAATGTCGAAGCAAGGCAAGCGCTGGTACTGTTGATGCAAGCGCTGCTGCTGTCGATCCTGCTAATATGGGGTAGAGGAAACAAATGAAACTGCTCTGTGTTCAGTCCCACTGTATAGTCCCACCTTCCAGTGATGCAGCCATTGCTGCTGCCGCCACCATCCCCCATTGATGGTTCTGTCCTCTGCCCAAATTCCACATCTTGCTGCCTGGCCCCTTGTTGACTGGCGTCAGCAGAGACAAGAGTTACATCAGGAAAATGAGTTGTAACGTCAGTACTAAGAGAAGTTACATCAGTAGAATGAGTTGTAACGTCAGTAGTAGGAGTTACATCAGTAAAATGAGATGAAATGTCCGCAGTGTGAACGCGTACACGTGCATTCATCTGTGGTGGCAGCTGCTCGGTGCAAATAAGGGATGTGGAGGCCTGCTGCTGTAACCGCTGCTGGTTTTGGTGTTCTTGCTGAGGGTGCTGCTGTTGGTTCTGCTGCTCTTGTTGTTGCTGCTGTTGGTGGTGCTGCTGTTGGTGGTGCTGCTGTTGGTGGTGCTGCTGTTGGCGTTGTTGCTGCTGCTGTTGGTGCTGGTGTTGTTGTTGTCGTTGCTGCTGCTGCTGCTGTTGTTGTTGCTGTTGGTGGTGCTGCTGTTCTTGTTGCTGCTGCTGTTGGTACTGGTGTTGTTGCTGCTGCTGATGGTGCTGCTGCTGTTGTTGATGCTGCTGTTGGTACTTGTGTTGCTGCTGCTGCTGCTGTTGGTACTTGTGTTGTTGCTGCTGCTGGTGGTGCTGCTGCTGTTCTTGTTGCTGCTGTTGGCAGTGTTGCTGTTGTTGTTGTTTCTGCTGCTGCTGTTGCTGCTGCTGTTGCTTCTGTTGTTGTTGTTGCGGCTGCTGCTCCTGGTGTTGTTGCTGTTGCTGGTATTGTTGCTGCTGCTGTTGCTGCTGTTGCTGCTGCAGCTGGTGGAAGTGCTGGGGCTGAAACGCCTGCTGCTGCGGCTGCTGCTGTTGCTGCTGCTGCTGCTGTTGCTGTTGCTGCTGCTGCTGCTGTTGCTGTTGCTGCTGTTGCTGCTGCTGCTGCTGCTGCTGCTGTTGCTGCTGCTGCTGCTGTTGCTGCTGCTGCTGTTGCTGCTGCTGCTGTTGCTGCTGTTGCTGCCGTTGCTGCTGCTGCTGTGTTTGCAGCACACCTGACCCTAGACTGTCAGCAAAGGCGTATCCTTTTTCTCCTGCTGTTGCTGCTGCTGCTTCTGCTGGTGGTGCTGCTGCGACCACTCGCGTATGGGCCATGCCAAAGTATCTGCTGTTGCTGTTGCTGTTAATGATGCTGTTGCTTTTGCTGCTAATGATGGCGATGCCTGGCGAATGCAAAGGAGGGAGAGGACGAAGAAAAGGCGGGCGAGTAGTGGAGAAATGGGTGGTAGGAGGAGGGAGAGGAGGGGGGTGATGGAGCGAGGGGAAGGTGGGAGAGCCTGACGTGAGAGGAGTATGGCAGACAGGAGCATGGGGGGTGTGGTAGGCAGCTGTAGCAGGAGCAGGAGGCACTGCAGCAGGAGAAAGAGGGACTAAAGCAGAAGCAGGAGCAGGAAGTGTAGCAGGAGCAGGAGCCGTAGCAGGAGCAGGAGCCGCAGCAGGAGCAGGAGCCGCAGCAGGAGCGAAGGGCGCTGTAGCAGGAGCGAAGGGCACTGTAGCAGGAGCGAAGGGCGCTGTAGCAGGAGCGAAGGGCGCTGTAGCAGGAGCGAAGGGCGCTGTAGCAGGAGCGAAGGGCGCTGTAGCAGAAGCAAGAGGCACCGTGGCAGACACATCAAACGTAGAGGCAGCGGGCGATTCAAGCAGTTGTACCGGTGGCGTGAACTGGAAACATAGAGCTTGGCCTGAGGTTGCAGGGGTTTCTCGTCCAAGTGCCGCAGGAGAAGGCGAGGCAAAATAATGGGCTGGTTGCGGGAGGTGTGTGGACAGGGAGGGCGGCGAGGGAGTCTGGGTTGCTCTGAGAGCTGTCTGCTCAGCTGCTGCGTTGGCGGAACCTGACAGGCCAGTCGTTGCAGGGAGGCTGCTAGTATCAAGAACGGAGGCTGTGGCAGAGGCAAAGGCTGTAGCAGTAGTAAAATCTGTAGCAGAGGTGAAAGTTGTAACAGGGGAAATGGCTGAACGCGAGGCTAAGGTTGTGGCAGTTGAAAAGGTTGTAGCGGGCGTGAAGTTAGTCGCAGGGGGATCTGTAGCAGGAGAGGCAACGGTTGTAGCGGCAGAAGTGGGGCCTGCTGGCGTGGGAAGGCAGTTGACGGCCGGATGCCCTGCAACAGGCGCTTTGGGAGCTGCTGGCGTGGGCGGCGGGTGGTTGTGTGTGCCAAAATATGCCACCCGCACCACCACACGCATCTCCGTCCTGTCCGACCCCGTGTTGTCTTCTTCCGCCCATCCTGCTACAGCCAGTCTGGCTGTAGCTGCAGCACTGGAAACAGCTTTAATTGATGTAGCACTGGCTGTAGCGGGCGCTTTTGCAGTGGCTGCAGCTTTTGAGACGGCGCCTTTCAGCATGGGACGGCGAGGGTGACGAGCCTCGCCGGCTATTCGATCCTCAACTTTTTTTGCCGGGCAGCCCGAGACGTGCTTGGACGAGCAAACGAAGTAGAGCCTGCGAGAAGGAAGGGAGAACCGGGGCGCACGGCATAGCAGGAGACGAGTGGGAAAACGTACAGCCCACATGCCAGTTGAGAACTTCTCTTGAAAGCAGTGAGAAAGCAAGGCACAATAGCTTGCGTAGCTGGTGAGAGGCGACCAGAAACGACTGGAGCTGATCAGAGCCAACCAAGGGGGATCAGCGCCGATCAGCACCGACAAGGGTGCCGACTAGAGTGCCGACAAGAACCGAATAGCGCCGACAAAAGTCGAATGGAGCCGTCCAGAATCAAATTGTGCCGACCAGAATCAAACTGCGCCGACCAGAATCGAACAGCACCGAACAGAGTAGAATAGCGCCGACCAGAATCGAATAGAGCCGACAAGACTCGAAAGCACCGAGCAGAGACAAATAGTGCCGTACAGAGCCAGCCCGCGCCGAGAAGTGCCAACCAGCTGAGACCAGTGCCATTCAGTGGCGAGCCAAGCCGTTCAGTGCCGAGCCAAGCCGTTCAGTGCCGAGCCAAGCCGTTCAGTGCCGAGCCAAGCCGTTCAGTGCCGAGCCAAGCCGTTCAGTGCCGAGCCAAGCCGTTCAGTGCCGAGCCAAGCCGTTCGGTGCCGAGCCAAGCCGTTCGGTGCCGAGCCAAGCCGTTCAGTGCCGAGCCAAGCCGTTCAGTGCCGAGCCAAGCCGTTCAGTGCCGAGCCAAGTCGTTCAGTGCTGAGCGGAGTAGAGCCGAGTAGAGCCGAGTAGAGCGGAGCGGAGCGGAGAGGGGCAAAGCAGAACCGAGCAGATCTTTTGCTCACAGCTGTTACGCCAGTTAACATCGCCCCAAATGGTGTCATGGGATGACATGCCATGTGCATGGAGGCCTCTGTGCCTGCATGCAGTGACCCCTCTCTTGCGCATGCATTCAGAAATGTCACCTGCCAGTCTTGTTACTCCGCGCGATGTGTGTGCGACAGACCGGCTTCTTAGGGTTTACTTGGTCACAGGCCGCCTTACCTCTTTCACACGCTGACCCGATAGTACTCGCTTTACCGTCTTCACAGGTTGACTCAATACTCGCCTTACCTCCTCACAGGCTGACCCACTAATCGCCTTACATCTTCACAGGCTGACCAGCTATGCGCCTCACCTCTTCACAGGCTGACCCGCTATTCGCTTGTGCGACGTCTTCTTCCATTTGAATCCATCGGAGGTGTGATGCTGCTGCTGCTGCTGCTGCTGCTGCTGCTGCTGCTGCTGCTGCTGTTGATGCTGACGTGGCAAATCTCCATCTAATCTTTCGCCCATTTGCAAATCCAGTAGTCCGGGTGCCAGGTCATGCGCCAAGGCACCATCATGGTGCTGTGCCTCCGCCTTCATTGGCGGTGATAGCAGGTGCCGAAATTGCTGCTGCTGCAAATCCGCGGTGGCGTGACTTGATTGTCGCGCCGCGGCCGCGTCGTCACTGATCTTCCCGTTGCAATGGTGGGGCTCAGATTTGATCATATGTTCGAGCATCCAACCAGCACTACAAGTACTAGCAGCAGCGGCAGGGCCAGCAGAAGCGGCGCTAGCGGCGCCAGCTGCGGCGTGCATCGACTCTGGTGAAACCGCCAGCGCCGGTGGCGGCGCACAATGCGGCGGCGGCGTGTGAATCATCCTGACTCGCGATGGCGGTCAAACAGGACCAGAATTTTCGACTCGATGGTGGATTGCACTGCAATAAACGACTCCCGCCGAGTCGTTTCCGACACGCCGGGAACGGTGAGCATACCACTAGTACTAGGCTAGTAGTTCGCCGCGGCGCGGCGCTGTGGGACTCACTCGGGCGCGGAACCGCGGTATGCGGAGAGGCCAATAGTGCAGAAGTTGTGCATATTCGGAATGCAAGACCGCTACTGGATGATGCAAGACAGGGAGTTTTAGGTTTTCAGGAGTGAACCCTATGCATGATGCGAGATTGATGATCATCATCGGCCTAATCTGCATTCCCTGATTCGTGTATTGAAATCACCTGACGTTTGGGTGCGAGCGACTCAAAGTGGAAAGGGAAGTGACAAGAGAAACGTGTGGCAGAATAGCGCGTGAAAGCCGCGGATGAGTGTCCCGGTTACAACCTACAATGGAGGTTCATATCGGCGCGGAATGGTCTATAAACGTTCCCAAACGTGTTGGAGCTACATTGCACAAACATCAACGCTGTAACCACACTTGTACACAGTATCAACTCACCAGAGAGCCGTGCTGCACAAGCCGTTGTGCCATGGAACAAACAAACAACATTGGCTGTCGATTCCAATCCACTCCCCGCTTCCTCCCTCCATCCTTCCCCCCACCTCTCCATCCCACCCACTCCACTACCACCACAACTACCCTTTCAACTTGTCCCATCCCTCCCTATTTCCTAGACTGGTTCACAAATGCGATGTTTAATTAAACACAATTGTTGGTACCAAGGTGTTGCGGTTTTTCATTATCGACCACCATATATTACGGCATAAGGCTTTGCATTGGCGTCAGTGTTTATGTTATAAGCTAATGGTTACTAGTGAAGGAATCATGTTGGGGTAGAGCATATTATAGACATTTAAACCTGATTTTAGGTCAGAACTAGACCCAACCCAGAAACAGTCCGAGTTTTTTTCTGATGGGTCTCTGAATTCGTCCAGTGGTTCCCACATAGCGACAGCCTTGTCAACGCAGTGCCCCTTGTGAACCAATGCACAGTACAAAACACAATGCCCTTTCGGAACACCAACTGTTTGAGGGGAATGCTTCGTGAGGAGCAGAACAGACATGGGAGTGAGGGAACAGCCATTCTTGCCCGTGGGTTGTGGGTTGACATTTTTTAGGATGGCGAGAATCTCCCACTGATGAGACAGAAATAATGTTCAGGACGCCAATGAGACAGAACCATTCGGGAAATTATATGGTTAGTCACAATAGAGCCCGTTTTATCACGTTTGGTCACATGGGTATCACGTACAGTCACAATACAGTTCGTATATATCGCATGTGATCAGAGCGCTATCACAGATAGTTACATCTTGGCCCGTATTGCTATCACGGTTGGTCACACAATGAAAGGATCGCTAAGAAGTTGAAACTTGAAAGATACCAGGAAAATAAGCTCGTGGCGCAATGTTCACTACGTTCTCGTTTTCTGGAGCTGAGCACACCTGTACCAAGTGGGGCATGCTCTGGAGGCTGCGGAGATTGACCCTACAACGGTGGGAGCTAGAGTACGGGGTAGGCACAGGTTGGTAGAGTGATCTTAGCTCTGTCTGTGTTCTCTAGCACTTGTACGTTCACATGGCAAAACAACAAGAGTTTCACTAAGGAAATTTGAGAATACAGAGTTCATAATGAACAAGCAATGGCAAAGGTTGACTACATCACATGCAAGGTTTGCTAGTGCACAGGCAGGTCGACCGCCAGCACGACAAAGTTGTCGACCTGCCAACGTAGCAAGTCTGCGGCCCGCCAACGCACCTTGTGTACGACTTGCCAACGCTGCAGAATGGCGGCATGCCAACGCTGCACCCGCGCGGCTTGCCAACGCTGCACCTGTCAAAGAGAAAGGCCCCGCCCTTGCTTGGGCGCAGCTGATCTCACCGTCGACGAGTAGTTCGCGACGGGTTGGTCGACGAAATGGGCTTCTGCAATTCGACGAAAGTTGCAGTCGAGCGAGCGCTGCGCGACGAGCTCTGGTCGACGATCTCTGCGTGACGAGCTCCTGTCGAAGAATTTTGGTCGAAGATTTCGGGTCGAGGAGCTCTGCTTGGCGAACGCTGTTCGACCGAGCGATGTCGAGCTGATCGACTGAATTCGCAGAGTTGTGCGAAACTCTGCGGAGGCGTGCGAACTTTCGCTCATGAGGTTTTGGCGAATTTCTACCTGCGGAACGGCATCACGTGGTCGACGGTGCGCACCTGGCGAAACCGACGACACGTTTTCTACCTGGCACCTGTGCAATGTGCCTGATGGTGAAACCGTCAACCTGCACCTACTTGGTAGGTGCGTACATCTGCGCAGATAGACAACCTGCGACTGCAGATAGTTACCTGCGACTGCAGATAGTCACCTGCGACTGCAGTGCTGGCAGACCGCGCGCAGTGCAACGCTGGCAGACTACTCTACTGCAGCGTTGGCAAGCCGCTCTTCTGCTGCGCTGGCAGATTTCTCCCTTGCTAGGTGTTGCATGCCATTCTAGTCCTTTTGTTATGCATGCCTCAATTGTTCTTTTCAACTTTCCTTAGTGGAAACTCTTGCCAAACTTCTGTGTGAACACAACAAGCAGTAAGAACGCTAGTGCAAGCTACGATCACTCGCACAACCCCGTGCCCTCCACCGTAGTCCACTCCCGTTGTGTAGTGACTCTCCGCATGGTGCGGTGAGCGTGGACGGCCCCGCGTCAGATAACCGACTTCTGCGTTCATTACCTATGTCGTTGTAGGCCGACAGCCGTCTTAGTCGCCATGGTCGACCCAGTAGTCGAAGCAGGTGTAGAAGATTCCCTGCAGGTGAGAGAGGCTGGTGTTCGGGCACGCCACGAAGCTGGCGGGTACGGCGAGGCGGACTTGGAGATTCTGCTCCTTGGAACTCGTGCGCAGTGGGCGTGTGAGCACCCCCCTCCCCATGCAGAAGCGGACGACGCGTCCGCCTCTCCCCGACCCGTGCACAACGAAGGCGATGGTGGCAATGTTGTCGGCGATGGAAGCACGAGGGTTCGCGGAGTGATACGGCCCGCCGACGTCAGCGTTGGCGGAATGCAGGCACAAGTGTTGCGATCGTCTGCGACTGGAGGCAGTTCGAATGGCAACATCGATGGTCGACGTCAATCTCCTCTGCGGAGTGGAGTCAGGCCGACTTCGGCGACTCATGCGTCGGCTGGTCGAGACGGAGGCATCGCGCCGGCGTACGGATATTTTAAAATTTCGCCTGACAAGATCGCTCTGCCGAAGCCGCTCGAAGGTCGACACGATTTGATCACGTGGATTGAATCCATCGAGCCTCAGCTGGAGATCGCCGGATTGAAGAAGTTCGTCGACGGCAATGTTGACACGCCGGACGCAGACGACTCTGAACTCTGGGCGGAATTTCGCGTTGCTCATCTACTAACCTTCATGGTCATTTCGAGGTGTTGCTCGCCTCTGGTGCAGGTCGCATTGACGTCGTGCAGACAACGGGTGGATGCTGGCCACCAAGCGTGGCAGTACATCATGCGCACCTACAAAGCGACCGACCACCTCTACATCAGTCAACTGGAGAAGAAGTTGACCAACATTCGGATGGGGGACCAGGAATCGGCGACCGAGTACTGCAATCGAGCGCGGCGAGTCTTGGCCGATTTGCGGATGGCCGGCGTCGACTACTCAGTGGCGTCGTATGTCACTCATGTCATCAGTGGCCTCCCCTCGGGCTACAATGTAATGCGCCGGATGCTGACAATTCCCGGCACGCGCGAGACTCTAAACGAGGACTCGCTTTCGAGCCACATCATCCAGGACGAGTTCATGCAGGAGTCTGAGCGACCTGCAGAACTGCTTCCGCAGGCCCACTACGTCACCCCGGCGAAGCAGGGACGCCAACAGGGGTAGCGTGGGAAGTCTGGCGGAGGCGCTGGCTGGAAGTCGTCGAACGCGAAGTCGACAGAGGGTGCCGACCGCGGGAAGTCGGCGAAAGGAGGAGATCGCGGCTCGCGTCGAGAAGGACGCCGCTGCTACATCTGCGATGCTCCCGACCACCTCTCGTACGACTGCCCCGACCGAGACGAGTCCGACGACGACCGGGACTCCAACCGCAGAAAGTCAGATGGTGGCCGTCGTCGTCGAGAAAACCAGCCGCGCAAGGAGAAGCAGGCGTCGAAGACGTCTTCGACGAAAGATGCGGACTCCGCTGGCGGCAACGCTCGTGGTGAGGAGGCTTCGTGCTCAATGGTCGGCGTGGTAGAGCCGACGATCTCGCTGGCGCTGGAGGCTGGCGAAGACTTCAAGGCGGTCGCTGCTGCTGTGCAGGCCAATCCGACTGTCGTGCTGCTCGACAGCGGCTGCTCCCACCATTTGATGGGGACGAAGGAGGCCTTCGTCGACATGCAGCCGAGCGGCGACGTTCGTCACGTTCGCGGCTTCAACGGGGCACTTCAGAGCGTCGAAGGCAGAGGCACTGTTGCTCTGAAAGGGGAGGCCGGGAAGCAGGTCCTCGTTCCCGACGTACTCTACGTACCGGGTGTGCACGCAAACCTGCTGTTTGCTGGCCAGCTCAAGGAGAACGGCGTGACGCTGCAGGACAATGGCGGAGAGATGCTG